ATATATATATATATATATATATATATTCACCTGGAACAGGCGTTTGGATTTACGCATCTCTGCACGCATTCCCCCAAATCCATCTCTGTATGACTGAATGTAAATATATAAATATATGTAAATATATAAATATATGCAAATATCTAGATAATATATATAAATATATATGTATATATATTTATTTACTCATTTTTAATTTATAAATAGATATCTGTAATATTTGTCTTTGTATATATACGTACATGTATATATATATGTATATATATGTATATATATGTATATATATATATATATTTATGTATGTCTTTGCGTATGTGGATGTGCTGCTGCAGCACGTGTGTGTTTGTGTCGATGGATGAAGCGGCTGAGGCTGCTGCTGCTCTCCGGCGCACTCTCTTTGCTTTTTGTTCGAGTCAGGGGGTTGAGGGCAGCGAAGGTGCTGCAGGTGAGGCATTTATACCCTAAACCCTAAACCCTAAACCCTAAACCCTTATATGAACTGCTCTGCTCTGTTGTCTTCGCTGCAGATCTCCTGGGGCTTCTCGCAGCAGCCCTCAACTTCCCCGACTTTGGAAGGTGGGTCCTGTTACAGCAGCAGGCGCAGCAGCAACAGCAGCAGCAGCAGCAACAGCAGCAGGAGTTGCTTTAATGCATTTTTCTCGTTTTTCTCTGGTTTGTTTGTGTGCATTGCTTTATTGCGTTTGTCTTCCTTGTCATCTCGCTTGTCTTTATTTCTTTTTTGCTTTTTTCTTTCTTCTTTCTTAGGACATGCTTTTTAAGAGCACCCAGACAGCCACCCCCAGAAGAACGCTCGACGGGTTCGTTGTCGAGCCCACCTAAACCCTAAACCCTAAACCCTAAACCATTAGCCCTAAGCTCGTAGTTCAGCTTGCTGAAGGAAGAAGATGAAGGTTGGAGGCCAATGCAGGGCCAAAGCCTAGACACTAAACCCCAAGCCCTAAACCCTAAACCCTAAATACAGAACAGGCAGCACTGGAAGAGCATCAAGGCAAACAAACCCCATTGTTTCTGTCTTGCGGTGTATCCGCAGCTACAGGAGACCCTGATGCTGACGATTGGCTGTTGATAGAATTAGATGAAGATATTCTGGAGACCTTTGAAGCCTCAGACCCCGCTGTCATCGAGTGGGCAGCAGCTGCTGCTGCTGCTGCAGATAGCAGCAGCGGCAGCAACAGCAGCAGCACTCCTCATGGAAACTGCGCCGGCAGTTCTTCTCGCGGCCCTCCTCTTCGTAATTAATTGATTGGGTTTGCAAGCGAAAGTCAGAGGGGCCTCCCGTGAAGAAGTGTTTGGCTGTTGCTGTTGCTGCCGTCGTTGTTGTTGCTGCTGCTGCTTCCATTACAGAGAAGATATACTCTGTGTACGGAGGCGTTGCGTGGCGGCAGCAGCAACGGAAGGCCGGAGAAGCTGTCACCTGCTGCTGTTGCTGCTGCTACTGATTAGCGGCAGCAGAGAGCGAATGCGCCTCACTCACAGGCATCGCTGGGAGGCTTCGCAACTCTTTATTCTTGTTGTTGTTTTTTCGAGCAGGGGTCATTCACTTTTAGGGTTTAGGGCTTAAAGCGTTTAGGGTTCAGACCAGCAATTTCAGGCAAGGGTTTAGAATTTAGGGTTTACGATTAGAGGGTTTAGGGTTTAGAGGCTATGAGCAGCGAGGGTTTAGGCGAGCGGTTGAAGGCGAAGGGTAGGGTGTAGGGGCCAAAGGTCTTCTTCATTTTTAGGGTTTAGGGTTTAGGGTTTGTTGCAGGAGCCCTTGCCACTTCTTCGTTGTTTTGTTTGTTCTGTTAGGGTTTTGGGTTCTTCAGGCCGCAGTCTTCTTGCCATCATCACTCTCTGTTCTCCTTAGTATTAGTGTTCTTCATTATAAAGTATTACTATATATATATATATATATATATGTATATATGTATATATGTACATACATGTGGTATTGCCCAGCAGCAGCAGATTTGCTGGCAGCAAAAGTAGAGGTGGTTTTGTTTCCTTCCGATTCATCTTTTAACTTATTTTATCTGCTGCATGCAATTACTAATATTCGTTACTGCATTGCTGTCTATTGATACCTTATGTGCGGTTCTTCTATATAGCTAAAGGCTGGATATTTTTGGTGCTCTTCCTTATAATTTGTCCGTTGGGGTTTATATGTAAGTATGCAAAATGCTTTTAGCAACGCACGGAAGAAGAAAGGCAAATAAATCATAATAATGATCGCTGCAACGGCTCGGCATGCATGCATGCATGAACAAACGTCAGTTCAAACTGCACGTCTTTCTTTTCTTCTGTTTGATGTATGCGAAAAGACATCTTGCAAGGGAGCACAGAGCGACGTCTAGACTGCTGTGTCGCTCGCTCCCCTGTCGTTCTTGCCGTTATTAAATGCATGCACGCAGTGATATAAATGCTGATGATGTTCTGTCCTCGCTGTGGGTGTGTTTTGTTAATTGTGTTTATTTACGTCTCGTGTATCTGCACCGTGAGAAAGAAGAGAGCACCCTCTTCTCTTGAATGCCTGAAACCCCTTTGGGATGCAGGCTAAGAAGTGAGGGGAATAGAGAAGAGAAAAGAAGAAAGCAATGCAGTGCAGTCGCTAACATGGAAGTAACCATGAAGCCGACCGAGATACAGCTGCGAATCGATGCCTGCCAGTGTTCTCGTGCAGCGAGCGACAAGCACAAGCTCCAGCAGAAGAAGCAACAGCTTCAATTACATTATTAGCAGCTGTTTATTCGCGTTTAGGCCCAATAACACCTGTATCTCTGGGTTCTACTAAGTCCACGCGGGCCTTAAGAGAGCACACCTTCTTCTCGGTGTCGAAGGTGAAAGCAATGCAGTTGCTCTCGTATTCGCATTGCAGCCGGCAGGCTGTCTCATGAGGTAAGCCCGGAATAGTCTTGAAGGAGGTTCCTTTATAAGCATAGCCACCTCTAGCACTACGAGCGCACCCTACCTTAGATCCAGATACTTTGCCTTGTTTTTTCGTTGTACGTCCTGCAACAGCTTCAATCTTCTTCAGTGAGCACTTCTTCTCCGCTGGGGTGAATGTATAGAGCCGGCACATCGGGTGTTTGTAGCAGAGCTCTCTGCACTGTGTTGTATCTTCTGCATCCACGTTGGAGATCTCACCTCCGACATACTCTACATCTGGTTCCTCGCAGAGAGAGAGCAGTTCGAAACACCGCTTTGGGCCTGAGACAGCACCCTTAGTTTTCGTTACATTCAGATCCCCCTTAAGAAGAGTGCATTGGCCGGAGAGACGATCTTCAGCAAAAGTAAAGGTGAAGTGCGTGCATTGTGCTTCCTTTGCACACCACCGCATGCAGAGCCCTGCGTTCTCTGTCACATCTGTAGCAACTGTCTCGCCGCCAGTGAAAGCGACATCTCTCTGGAAGCAAGAGATGTCCGTTAAGCATTTAGCGGGCCCGGAGACGTAGTCACGTGCTTCCACCAACTCGCCTTCGCCTGAGAGAAGACTGCATTGCTTTGTCACTATATTGAAAGCAAAGCGAGTGCACGAGCTCATGAGTCCGCAGCGAATCTTACATTCTTCTGCATTGCCGGCTTCCAAGTTCCACAGGAGATTCGAATCGTTTGCTAGGATCCTTACTCCTTCCCTCATGCAGATAGAGCAGGTTGGGAAGCCTGTGACGGCCCCCTCGATAGGTGAAAGATATCTGAAGGACTCGTCATCTTTCAAGTAGCACCGTTTGTCATTCCAGTGTGTGAAGCTCGTGCACTTCTCATCTGCTTTGCACGTGTCGCGGCACTGTTCAGCTGTCTTGCCGCTCAATTCCTTCACGTACCCGTAATCACGCCGTGGGCTATGGACACCTTGCAGATAGCAATCTCCTGCACAGTGCTTCGTGCCGCTTGTTGCTAGGGGGCTTTGCTCGGTTGTAGCATCTCTTCCAATGAGTCTGCAGAAGCTTCCACGGTACGAGAATACAGCGCAGGTCGATATAGCTTGGCAGTGCAGCTGGCACTCTTCTTCGGTCTCTACTGCCGTGGTGAGCTCCCTGATGATTTCGCCGTTGTACTCTACACCCTTCTTCATGCAGCCTGCGCATTGACGCGGGCCTGAGACGAAGTTGTAGTTGGGGCGCTTCGACATCACTGCAAATGCAATATGCATGTAGCATACTCCTCCTTTCATATCGTAAGAGAAGGCTTCACATCCTGTGGTCGTCTGGCATTTAGCTTGGCATGCGTTTGCGGTCTCGGTTTTCTCAACTGCAAAAGGCACCCCGTCATAGCGCACGCCTCTCATGCTGCATGAAGGCACATTCTGAAATGCATTGTACAGGGGTTCAGAAGCGCAGCCGTTCTTAGGGCCACTCCACGAGGGTTGTGAGGTGTAGGTGCCGGCCTTAGAGGATTCCAAATCGAAGAGCCTGCAGGATTTCTTGGTCTTGTTGTATGTCCAGCGTTGACAGCGTGCTTCTAGGGCGCACAAATGCGGGCACTCTTGTAAGTAGCTCTTCTTGACGTCTTTGTAGGCTGCTCCAGTGTACTCGATATTCCTCAAGTAACAGCTGGAGTCGGAGTACCTGCAAGCTGTGACGTCTCCCCTCTTAGCAACCCCGATGGGTCCAGAGCGTGCCTTCTCATAGCATATTTTGTCATCTGTGTTGAATGTATACCACTGGCAGCTGGGGTTGAGCAGACACATGCGGCGGCAGACCTCCGTTGAAGGAATCTCCCTTGTAATGCGAATGTTCCCTTCCATTCCACTGAGATCTCCACCCATGAACATATCGCCTGCATAGTTTGGAGATTTAACGTTGAGACTGCACATGTCTCTAGGCCCACTGACATATCCTGTCTGGCTTTCCGTATCAACTTCTGTACCGTGAGACGTGCATTCCAAACTCTCGCGATTCCAGGAGAAACCAATGCAGCCTGATGCTGCCTGGCACATGGACTGGCATATGTGAGGAGTGGGAGCTTTTCCCAGAGAAACCCCCTCACCACTCAGACGTTTGCCACGCTTGAAGCAAGATTCGTCGCAGCCGGGAGGAGTAACAGAACCCGACCCTTCCTTGAGTCCCTGTACACTTGAATACAGAGAGCAGAGTGAACCGTCATACGTGGCAGCAACACAGCCTGCCATCTGGCCACACAGTCCCCGGCAATCTTGTTCCACCTCCACACCCTCCATCGCAAACAGCAAGCCCGACGCCCCGCCATCCAAGGTGTAACCAGAAGCGCTGCAGCCGAAGGGTTCCAGGTCAGCTTCTTGGAGTTCTACTTCCTTGTCGGAGGACTGTACCTTAGCTTCGTGATCAAGCACGTCCTTCAGATCGGCCTCGGTTTCGCCAATAACACTCGGGAAGAAGAAATCAATCGCACCGTCACTCACCTTCATCGGAGGCACTTCAATGTACGCAGAACCCCACTGCGCCTCCAACATCGACAAGGGAGCTTCGAAGGAACCGCTGGTCGATGCATGACGTCGGTTCGGTGCCATCCATGCCTCTGCATTTTGAGGCCAGACTGCTGCACCCAGACCGGCCAGCGCGGCCACGCGCTGCAGTTGCCTCATTGAGCCAACCTAAATGAAAGATAGTCGGAAAAAAAACACTAAAATTCAAAGCCTGCCCGAGGAAACAAACCGGCCGATCCGCACGCACACCGCTCGACGGCAAAAAAGGAGCGACGAGCTAAAAAGCTGGATTCCAATAAAACATGAACCAGAAGTGATCGGCAAAAACACTGCAGAATGAAGTAATGAATTCAGTTGATGAAAAATACTCAGGAAAGGGAATTGAACTTCCAGGACCAGGAATTCTCGGAACTCGCCACAGTCGGTGAGCTGCCGATACACCGCATTGAAGGAATGAACCCGCAAGCGGCTTTGAAAGGTCCTTTGCAATGAAAGGAAAACCAAAATAGAAGAATGGCAATGAAATGAAAGAACTTAGCTGAATTCATACCGTTGCCATCGAAACCAACGGTGAACACCAGGAAGCTCCAGCGAGTGCAGAGCGCGCCGGTTGCCGGGTGCTAGCTAGCTGTATGGTCTCCCCACTGTACACCGCATCATGGAGTGCAGGAATTGTGGATGTTTTTACTGAACACATTATGAAGCGTTGCTTTTTTTCTTCTTTCAAAAAGAAAGAACAAATTTAGAACGGGAAGGGCACTAAAACACTGTTTCCGTAGGCGCTCACACGCATCGATTGGGTGCACAAAGTGTGTGTGCGAACGTCCATGGTGGCTGCATAGAACATGTATTTAAAGGAACAATATTGTAATACAACCATATACCTTAAAGTAATTACTTTAACTCCCTACTACATGTAGGTACTGAGCAAATTGTGCGGTTTCAGGCAACCTCCATCGACACGCGCAGCAGCGGCCTTCATTGGTAATTGGCAAATCATTGTGCAGAGGTCAAGGGGAGCAGATCTGACAGTGTTATAACAATTTACAAATACGTTCTACAGAAATTCTGAGGAGAATAGAAAACAGAATACCTGTTGGTATACTGAAGATGAAGAAGGGTCGCCCACACTCAATGGCCGTGGACTGGCCTGAATGGATGCCAAGCTGCAAGAGGATGCATAGTAGATAATTTTAGAACCCGCATTTTCTACGTTATTGAGTACTCCTTCAATAAGTCAATCATTATGTGCATATTAGATGTATGCGTGCCCTTCTTGCCGCTGGCCCTGTTCATAGATCACCCAAAATAAGTAGCGGGGGTTGATTTGCTTTGCTAGCTGAGTACTTCGTGGCCTACGATTTTTTTTGAAAGGTTACTCCTTGCCTTTGTTTAGTCAAAGATCTCACCATCTCACCTTCTCATTCTTGCCTGTGTTGCACTGTATAACTCTACGCCGCTCTAAATCGCTAAAGTGGATCCAGGCGACGACAGTTTCAAGGGCATGAAGCTATAGTTGCTCCGGTTCTTTGCATCTGGGGATGCCAACGCTGTTGATTAGACTCACAAATATATTTAAATGTCTTCGTTTATTCATTTGTGCATTGTTGCGTGCTTGTACGGCTCCCTTATTCCATTTACAGCTACTTCAGTTGCAGACAGACACACACAATCAATGCAACCTTTAAATACTAATTCCCCCGAAAATTATTTGAGAAGAATTAGCAGCAAACTTGAATTATTCCTCACCAAGTTAATTAATTCTTTTTCAAGAATCATTTAGCTTGGTCAGGAAGAATTCATGTTTGCATGTACTCGACATTAAGCATTCAATGCCGCATCTAAGTACCTCTTCAGATTCAGCGCTCATGCCTGCACAATCTGAAGGCATTTTTTTCTCCAGTCAAGAAGTGTTGTTCTACAGTCGGCGCTGCAATTCCCTACTGCAGCTCGTAGATCTGTATTCGCGTGGGCTGCCCAGAGCTCCCACTAGAAAAACCGTTTCTGCGGGGATGTTGAATGCAAGCAACCATGGTGAGGAAACGCACGAAAATACAAACGAAAACGCAAAAAATAACAAATAGATAGATGGACGGCAGCATAATTTGTCCGCTCATCAACGTTGATTTCTTTTTGCACGTAGCACTGCGGCGTACCGATCCCGTTTGGGAGAACACGAGCCGTGTATGTTTGGGTATAAAAAGGGCAATGCCCACATAACACTGGAAAACAATACTCAGGAAGAAGAAAAAAAGCCAGCACGGGACATTTGCAGAGGCGAAGAAGCAGTACATTATAGAGGAAGCGGACACAGTGAAACAGATGGAAAATGTCGGGGTGTATGTACACGTGGCCGCAAGAAACGGCGAAGACGCTGATCATCAAATAAGACAGTGCTTTGTATCTTTACAAGCCGTTTGTTCATGAAATAACTTTTCACTTGAGTTTATTTACTTACTTCGCGGGCAAGTTCTTCAGGAAAACATACTTATTGGTGAATCGTGCAACGCTTCGCTGCTTATTTAGGTTTTCATGTATGCAGCAACCTCAGCTTACCGCGTTCGACAAAGAATCCGAAAACGGTGGAAACACGCATGAAATTGCACAATAGACGCGCTGAAGATGTTTCAATTAATATGGTGTTTCGTTCTTTTCTTCGCTATGGGGAAGACATTAGAAGCGTTTGATGTCGGTTTTGCTGGACACCACGAGGCTGTTAACACATTCGAGCTCATGCCCCCCCGGGTAAATCCGAAACCCCTATACGTAAGAGCTAGTAGCCTCTGGCTATCATTTCTTATCAAGTGGTTGATTGCAAGTAGTCACTCCTGACTCCTCATGTGCCGGCCTCATTAAAAGTGCAAGCCTTCTCTATGTGGCACTGCATGCCTCCTTATTACTCTTAGTGCGCAACATATGACTCGCATTGACTAATTTCTCGTTTCAGGCTCGCCAGATTTTATACTCCGAAGGAACACCCGGTGCGTTGCCTGTGTCATGCTGCTGTTCAACTCGCTGTCTTTTCAGCACCTCTACTTGCATACAGTGCAGCCAGCCCCCAGTCCCCTCTCCTCCTAACCCCTCTCTATCTTGGCTATGTTAGAACTGTACATATTCATAATACACTCATGACGCCTGCCCCCATCTCCATAGATGCCCCCTTATTGTCCATTCCATATGCATGCACACGGGTGACCCTAGCGCAATGTACATGCACCTGAACTTGTACCGAAAAAGCTCCCACACAAAGGGCACATACAACACCTCACTGCAATGTGCTTTACAGATATTGTGCCTATCAATGATAGCGGCAGCACTGTGACCCTCCCCGCCTCCACCAACCCCTATGGACAGTGGGTGATAGTGAACGCAGCGACAGCAAAAATTTCGAATTTCGGGTCAAACCTCAAGAAGAATGTCTTAATAAACAACGCGACGGGGTGAGGCTTGCTTAGAGATATCTTTCGCTGAAAAGAGCAATGCTCTACTGTACGCCACAATGCGCGTATGCTAACCCAATGCTGCGCATACACCCCAACTCATGAATACTCTACAGACGTGTAGACGTCGAATACGACCCACTCCGTTCTCGAAGCAATCCAGTCAAGGTGAGGCAACATCGCGTACCTGGAATTGTCGAGGAATACTCACCAAATGCATGCACATATATCCACCTACGAAAATGCATATGCATGCATCAATGCATATACGCATGCACATGAATATATACATATATATATAGATATTATATACATATATATATGTGTGTTATACATGCATAGATTTATACGCGCCCATATATATGCATTTACTCTCCAACCCTTTCTGCCCTCAGGTATTCGACAATACGGGGACCCTCCACCTAAAGGAGCCAAATGACTACAGCGAGTTGCCCCCCCCCGCGCCCTAAACCCTAAACCCTAAACCCTCAGCAAAAAGAATATGTGAGGGCACAAGTTCTTATTAAGTCCGTTCTTAGTCGCAAACCCCTTCCCTTCCCACCTGCAGACACCGAACAACACGGCGTCCGTTGCAGCTGCAGCAGCAACAGCAACAGAGGAGGAGCTCCAAGGCCACCGCAGCAAGGCAGCAGCAGGAGTGCTTCAAAATTGTTCTACTGTTCTATGCACTTGTCCCGCTGCTGGCACTTGCTGCTTGCTGCAGCGCGCGAAGCAGCAGCTGCTGCTGCTCCGCTGCATCCGCTCTCAGCCACTCGCGTCTCCTGATGCTGCTGTACAGGAAACCCAGCTGCTGCAGCTGCCGCGCCTTCAGCAGAGGGGCCCCCAACAGATCCCCAGACAGAGGGCAGTAACAGCTCTCAGACAGCAAGTCCAAACAAATGTCGCGCCCCTTGCTACCGTTGTTGCTGCTGCTGCTGCCGCTGGTGCTGAAGCTGCCCACAGCCAGGCCTTGCCTCTCCTGTTCCTGCTGCTGCTGCTGCAGCAACAGCCTTGAAAGGGGCTCGCCAGTGTCCCTGCGCAGACACAACTTTGGAGGTCAAATGCTTGTTCTGTCTCGCCATTCTTTGCGTTTCTCTACTTTCTCTTTCATTCGCACCTCTGCTATCCAACTTGCTTTCATCGATATTCTGTTCTTGCAAACCCTAAACCCTAAAATCTCAGCTCGTACGCCTCTAACAAGGACAGCAGCACTCAAAGCAGCCACGGCGAGGCCCAGGCCGCGCGCTTGTCTGCTGACGCGGCATCTTGTTTCTTCCGAGGTGTCTACGCACCTACCATACATCTCACTTTATCCTTGGTGGGCCTTTACCCCCAATAAATTGCAGCATTCTACAAGAAATTATTTTATACATTATCAGACGGTACTTAACGCCTTCTAAGCACGACATCATTCTCCACTGTCTGACAGAGATAAAAAGAAATCCTTTTTCCCCTGAGTGCCTAACCTACTGCGCTTTTAGGTGTACGTCCACCGTGTAAGGCCCCACAAGCTGAGGCCCTGACGGAGTGAAGCCCAGAAGGTGATGCAGCGCTTTGGTTAGGGTCTGATGATACGCCTGAAGCAATAGGAAAAACGCAGTATAATAGCGGCTGAATATAGTTGTACAACATCTGTATAATAGTAATAATGTTGTATAATAACAACTGAAAATAGTTTTAGTACATATACAGGTCAGTGAAGTACAGACAAACCATCACAGGGAAGGCAAAATAGGCATATGCATTATACTTTGCTTCTAGTATGCAAGTTTCTATGGGAGTTCAAATCTCTAAGAGCATAAACCATTCTTTGTCTAGTGTTTACGGTAGTTTTGTGGTTTAGGGTTTGGCGTGTAGGAGTACCTGAGGCTCCACTGCACAGAAAGGCTCCTGGTGATCCTCAATGAAGAGCTGCAGAGACCGCGGAGCAGCGGCGAGCGCATCCGCATTCTGCAGGGAAGCAGCAGAACAACCCTAAACCCTAAATCCTAAACCCTTAACCCGTAAGACGACAGAGGCAACGGAAGCACAACTGTCAACTGGTTATTGCGCACCAACAGCAAAGCTTTCAAATGCAAAACAGAAGAAACCCCTAGGGGGCAGAAGCCATTGGCCTTTAGGGTTTGTGGTTTAGGCTTATTAGGGCTTAAGCGCAGACCTCTAGCAAGAAGGTAAAGGCGATGCGCCGCAGCTGGTTTGCCCTGCAGACAGGGCTCTGCTCCCCGAGCCGTATGTACACTTCAAGCAGTTTCAAAGAAGCTGCGGTGTGCTGCAAGCAAAGAGCCCCCCAACACAACCACATGCCCTTGAATATATAGTTGCAGGCGGAGTTAGCAACTATGCAAAGTATGCCGCCACTACGGTGCAGAGCCAGCCAGCTACTGCGAAACCTGGCTCGCTAGCTAGATGGCTAGCTAGATGGCTAGCTGACTGGCTAGCTGACTAGCAAGATAGCTAGCTAGCTTGCTATCGATACCTCCCTCGAACGCCTAGAAAGGGCAACTCCGTCCAACAAGTTTACAAGCTGCTGGCCAGTGAATCCACGCTGCAGGGCAAACACTGGAAACCACAAACCCTAAACCCTTAACCGTACACCCGAGAGCGGTGGCTCTGTCTATGTTCTTACGTATAACAGCACAAGCCAAGCAACAAAGGCATCAACACGCCTGTCTCTAACAACCCACAAGGAAACAAATACAAATATTTCCAAGCCCTCAACGGGCATTTACCCCACTGCAGCTGGCAGCAGGGCGCTGCGCAGACCCTAGACCCTAAACCCCAACTGCTAAACCCTGAAGCAGTTCACCTGCAAGCAGAGGGCTTGGCTGAGGAGAGCGCTGAGAGTGTGGGGGTCTGCAGCTGCAGCCTTTGAGGCCCCGAGGGCTCCCAAAGCGATTGCGCACGGCGAAAGGTTATTGCGTCTCTCCTACAAGCAAGGCAACCGCAAACGCAACGAAACAATCATGTTAAATCTGCAGACAGTGTACGGCTTAGTACTGGTGCTTACAGCAAAGTTACCGTGGTTGTCAGTACAAAATGCTATATTCTATATATTGCAATGTAATATTTACGTATATGCATGCATATATATATGTTGATTAGCAACGCAAACAAAAACAAAGGGAGAGAAAAGACAGGCAGGGCATATTAAAATTGCTTACAAGGCCACACACACCCCCTCAATATCAGCTGCAACACCAGCAGCAGCAGCAGCAGCAGCAGCGGCAATATAAGCAACACCACTGGTGAAAACGACAGCCAGAACGGCAGCTGTCAGTCTGAAGCAGCAGCAACAGCAGCAGCAGCAGCAGCAACGGGGGCGCAGTCAACGTAAGCAACAAAAACAGCAACAGCAGCAACAACAGCAGCAGCAAGCAATTTACAGCTAATAGGGAATTAATAGCATTCCACGCGCCCTCGTGCTTGACCCCTAGGCGGCCAAGTGCCTCGGCGCAGATAACAAGCTGCTGAGTTGTCATGCTGCTGCCAGCTCTGCAGCACACACAGAACCCCGTGCTGCTGCTGTTGCTGCTTCTGCTGCTCTTGTTGCTTCTGCTTCATCGTTTGCACAGTATCACTGCTGCCAGCAGCAGCGACACGCAGATGCGGCATCTGGAGGCCCTCTCACCCTTCTATATGCTTGCAGACAGCCTGAATGAGACCTGTCTCCCTCAGCTGGAGTTTTGCTGCTGCATGCAGCAGCAAACACAGGCTATGTGCTGAAACGGCTTGCTGCCTCCCTTGCTTCCTCTGCACAGGCGCAGCAAAAAACAGCCGTTGCTGCTGCTGCTGCGGCTGCTGCTGCTGCTGCAGCAGCAAGCCTATCCGCCTCATGATTTTGGTGTCCCGCTGCTGCAGTAGCGACAGCGACAAAGCCAACAGAGCGAGGCCCTGACCATCGAGCTGATGCAGCTGCTGCTTCTGCTGCAACCGCTTTAGCAACAGCAGAAACAGCCTCCAAGGCAGCAGCTGAAGCAGCGCGTATTCATACAAGCAGCAGACAAGGGACTTCGCCGTTGCTGTTGCTGCTCGCTGTTCTAATGCCCACGCACAAACCCGCAGCACCTTAAAACTGATCTTGCTCAGGCTGCTGCTGTTGCTACTGCTGCTGCTGCTGCTGCTGCTGCTGCGGCGGCTTTTGCTGCTGCGGGAGGCCGTGTCTGGAGTTGAAGCTGCTGCTGAGTGTGCAGACTTTTCATCTAACACCTCAATTTGCTGCTCCGCCTCCGCTCTAGGGTTAAATCGACACCTTCCCCAACCCACAAACCACAAACCCTAAACCCTAAACCCTAAATCCTAGAGCCTAAACTCTTAGGTCTGTGAGTGTCGAAGCCAGACGAGAATCAAGCGGTGGAGCGTTAGGGTTTGGTTTGTATACAGTCCTGGGAGGCGCTAGGGTTCTGGTTTAGGGTATAGGGATTAGGGTTTTGGGTTTGGGGTTTACTTGCGGATGGTGTACAAGAGACAGGCGGCGTCGAACTCGTTCACCTGCCCGGCGTCGCGCAGCACGTGCTGCATCAGTGCTGCTAAATGCATGCGGTCCACTGCAGCAGCAGCAGCAGCAAAACACCGCAAGCTGCTGCAGGCCTCCGCCACAGACAGGCCGCCCTTCTGCAGTACAAACCCGGAGCAGCCGCAGCAAAACAAAAAAAAGATTAGCGAAACACTCAGCAGCAGCTGGGAAAACAGCAGCAGCAGGCAGCAGCTGCTGCTGCTACCTGGAAATGGCTTGCGCTCTTAACGACTAAGGTTTTGAGTTAGGGTTTAGGGTTTAGGGTTTGGGGTTTGCCTTTGTGTAGCGGAGCATCTGTTTAAGAGAACGCTTCCAAAGAGGATGGGCCCCTGGGAGGCCAAGCTTGCAGCAGCAGCGCACCAAGGCATGCAGCTGCGGCGGAGACAACTCTCCTGCTGCTGCTGTTCCTGTTGCTGTTGCTGATGCTGCTGAGGATGCTGCTGCTGCAGCTGTCAGATCATCAATCAGCCGAGCCACCGCAGGATGCTGCTGCAGCCGCAGGTAACTTGCTCCTCTTACTGCAGCTAGCTGCTGCAGATGGAAAACCTTCAGCGACAACTTGCTGTTGTTGCTGCTGTTGCACTGCTCTATCTCCTGCAGCAAGCACAGAAGGGCTTGCTGTTCTGCGCGCACCGCATCCTGCGGCAGCAGTGCAGCAAGGGAAGCAGCGCCGCCACCCACTGTTGTTGCTGTTGCTGCTGTGTGCAGTCCCTCACACCTAGCTAGGCCGCTACCTTGGATGCTCGCAGCAGCAGCAACGCCGGCTTTTGCTGTGTACCAAGAGGAAACAGATGCCAAAAGGGCTCCTTTCCCTCCCCTGGGGACGCCCTTCGTGCTCTCCGCATGCAACGCAGATCTACGAGCAGCAGCAGCAGCAACAGCACCAGTAACAGCGGCAACAGCAGGTGGCAGTCTGCATTTCATCTGACTCCCTGCCAGGCTCCTCACAGCTGCTGCAGCACAGGGGTTTCCCCTCCTGCTGCAGCGGAAGAGCATCTGCAGCGGGCCCCCCAGGGGCCCCCCCCTTCCTGGCATGAAGGCCGCGTTAATTGGGGGCCTCTCTGTGCCCTATCGGCACTCCTTATAATTACATTGCATCCACAAGAATAGCGAAGAAAGGCAGCGATGCAACACAAATCAAGGAAAGACGGAGTTCTATTATTATAAAATTTGCATGTGGAGAAGAAGGGCCCCTAGGGGGCCCCCATGGGGCCGGGATCGCCTGGGGTTGCTCACAAGCAGAGGCGAAGGTGCAATGCCCTCTATGCTATAAAGCTTATGAAAGTAGGATTCTTAGCAGTTTTGGAAATTGCGGGGGGAAGAGAATGTTGAGCAATGAAGGGCGATGTGGTGATACGTGCATACACCACGGCGCAGCATCGACGACTTTTGCTACGTGGGAATATGCTATCTTGAGCCTCAAGGCGACCGAACAATATTGAATTAAAGATTCATATTGGTTAAGGATATGTTTGATTAAAGATTAATTGCTTTATACGAAGGATTTCGGTTTCGATGGGGGCAGGCGTGCTGCTGCTACGACCGCAGCAACTACACTAAGAAGCGCCTCTTCTGAGGGCTTTCTCTCTTCTTTGCCGCCTCCGTGAGGGAATATACTCTTTAGCTCATTTGCTTCTTCCGTTATTGCCACACGTTGGACGCCATGGGGCTCCACGGGTGCCCCTGGGCTTGCCTCGGGTGCGGCAGGTAGAGCCGCAGCTACAGCAGCAGCTGCAGCAGTACCTGCAGCAGAAGGGCCAGTTGCTGGTTGTGTTTGCTTGAATGAGATTACTGGTGCTTCGCTGAGGAGAGTCCCTGTGGCAGAGAAGGGGGAGTAGACGTTGTTATTGTTGTGTATGTATGTGTGTGTGTATGTGTGTGTGAGCTTCTCTTGTAACGCTGCTTACCTGCGTTGTACACCTGAAAGTACGATTGTATTTAAATGGATTTGCTTCAAAGAAATGAAAAAAACGTACAATTAAACGCCGTGAACTACTAAAGGACGGCGACAGCTCATACACCACTGCCCCCTCTTGCGCCAAGTTCGCCAAGAAGGTTACAGGGGCCCCCCCAACCTAGAACAAGATGAATGAAGCAGAAAGGAAATATATATGTATAGTCGTGTACAACAATACAGCGTTGCTGTTCGCGAGCACAGAAGACGAAACAGAAGCCAGAAGGATGCACAGAGATGCAGCGGTGCTGGCTGTCGTGCGTGTAGCAGCTGCATGCATTCAAGAACAGCTACGCAGAAAATTAGGTTGGCTTCTTGTTGAGTCTGCTCACGTTGCTGAGGCTAATCGCGCGGTGTACCTCCACCAGCAGTCCTTCGGGGTTGTCGCTCTCCATGAGTTCAACTTTCTTGCCCTTTCCGTTCTGTTTGTTACAGAAACAAACATGCGAGGGTGAATACGGAAAAGAAAAGCGAGGTAATCAACAGAAAAGAAACCAACCTACACTACACAGCAACAGTTAAATTAATAAGGGGACATACCTCATATATCATGTCTGCAGCTGCAGGCAGAAAACCCGTATGCTCCATGATTTTTTTCTGCCTGCGCCAAAGAATGCAACTAAATGCGCGTTTTTTTATGTCCATCTTTAACTGTGAACATGTCGATACACCCGAAAGAGCAGAAGCTCGACTCTAGCAAACGCAAACGCACATGCGTTGTTGCTCTATGGGATCAGCTGGCCTGGGGGTGCGACGGCTGGGTGGAGCGCTGGGGTTTTCAACAAGTGTGCCGGTGTTGTCTTCAATTCTAATTCGTGTTTCTGTCGTTCTTTCCGTCTGATGCGGAAGTTTTGTTTTTTTGCCCCATCGTATTCATATTATTGAATGCTACTAAAGAGAAACGTCAAAGACGCACAGAAAAAGAAATGTGCACGGGAAACTCCTTCGCGTCGTTGATTATCCTGCAGCCTCCAAGTAGAATCCAACAGTGAATAATGTTGTGAATGAATGAAAAGCAAACTGATCATTTCTCTTAGGCAAGAGAGTAGCTAAGGATGAAATCGCTTCAACTTGTACCCACGTTGTCATGGGGTTGGTGCCGATGTTCGCCACCGAACCTCCGCCTCGCCTGCAGACCCAACTTAAATTGAAATCTGCGGACAGTTCGAAAAACGGGAAAGCCTCACTTTATGTATATTATTTGGCCATTAGGGTTTGAGCTCTTGGGTACGTCTGTGCGGCTCACACTGTCGACAACGACAACATCCGCCTTCGCTAGATCTGAACAACGGATTTACATTTCATTTGGTACGATTTCACTTCAGACTAGACTTCATTCCGCTCTGGAATCCTTTAGAACCAAGCGACAGGCTGCCCTACCGAACCCATATGTTGCACCCGCCTTGCCATCAAAGAGCTTCTTTGCGTGCAAAAACAAAACATCTTGAAGAACAATGAACAAGAAGGCCCAAAAGTACAGCATTTTCCGAGGAGCAGCCGTCATTCTCGTGAACGCCTATACATTCATTGGCATCCATGAGGAGCTGCGTATACACCTGAAATCTTCAACATGGGAAGCTGCAAATCAACCACAATTGCCCTATTTGCACATCGCTTTGAAGTGAAAGACGTTCAATACAATTCTTTTACAAATGTTGCTTCATTAAATGCATTAGTGGCCTGAAACTTGCAATTCCTTCCAGAACTCCCTTCCTTCTGTGGTATATTTCAAGGACCCTGACACGAAAAACAGAAGCCGAAGAACCGAAAGGAGCGCAACTTCCCACAAGAAACATGAATAGTACGAGGGAGTGTTTCTCTTTGTTTCAGTGATAGATGCTCCTAGAATATGAGAAAAGAACCTTCTTCCGCTAAAAGCAGGAGAGATATTACCTGAGTCAAGAAAAGATATTACTAATTCAACGATGTGCCTTTTCTAATAGACTTAAACGAATGCAAGAACCTTCATCCAAGGAAGTGGAAATGCCGCCATGCTTAGATGGCCGTGATCAGGATCCAGAACGTCAATATATATATAATATTAACAATATATATTTTGTCTATATATTAAATAATAAATGCACATATTGATAATATGGATAATAACTGACCATGTATTTGCGTACACATGCACATATGCCCATATACATGCATACATGCAATACATACAAAAGATTTTAGACGCAGAATATACATCTGTATACTCATATATATATATATATATATATATGCTCTATGGGCGAAAGCGACGCCAAGCCTAAAATTAAATAAACAATTGCGAGCCATTACTACCCGTAGTCACAGGTACAGGCTTAGCTTTCTTGCATGATGCCACCATTTGCTTTTTATTCCTTTTGTTTTGCTTTTCTGTAGGTGATGTTGCCTCTCCTCAGATCTAGGGCTCCAACAACCGCTTGAGCGTCAGGCAGGCACAGCAAAAAACGCCAAAAGATGAACAGAAAGCAATCCCTGAAGAGAAAAAGCAACTGCTGCTACATATCTATATATAGCAGCAGGGAGAGCAAGAGAAAATCCTGAGAGCCAAACCCTAAATAGTCTCTAACCCGGCAGGACTGTTGCGTGTTACAACACAAGCACACAGCTGCCTATACTCCCCACGGCCACGCCTGGCCACGCCCAGTGAGATTGGGAGTGTGGAAAGCAACGGGGGGAGCAAAAGCAATTACTGAGCGCAAAACCCTAATTAATCTTTAACTATAAACCCTTATCACTGAAACGTACAGGGCAGCAGCAGTCAGTACGCCAGCCGCAGCAGCCAAGACAACTTGTTGGGCGGAAGGCGACGCTACACTGAAGGATGGAAAAATAGCAAATAACGAATTAAAACAGATAAAAACAACTTGTACCGATTCCAGCAAAATGATTTCATGAGAAACAGGTACGGGCCTCCCTCCCCCCACCCATAGAGAGACTGTCTGTCGTGTGCCGGTGTGCCTGGTTTACAAACCCTGGACATAAGTGTTGAAATTAAACAAAACGGAAAACCGGAAGGTTTCAGGATTTAGTTGTCTTTCAACACTGAGAATGAATTTGGGGTGTAGCCTTCGGGGACTAGTGTTTAGTGTTTAGGGTTTAGGGTTTAGGGTTTTGTTTAGGTCACCGGTTGGGCCGGGCGCGTTGGTGGTCCGGAGCGGCTTCTGTTGGCTGTGAGTTGTTGGCGACGGAGGAGAAGACGCAAATTACGTAGAGAGCCCCGGAAGCCTAAACAATAAACCTTAAACCTTAAACCCTAAACCCTAAATCCTAACCTTCATCGTCGAAAGACTTCGGGATGCTGCATAACGGAGTTAATGACTTAGTTAATGACTTCTTCGGCTCGCTTTGTTTGGCTTTCTCCCCGTTTTCTTTTTGAGTTCTGTCAGTTTCCTTTCCTGTCACTGCCTAGGCAACTCCCTCCTTAAACCCTAGACCCTAAACCCTAAACTCGCGCTGCGCCGTGTGTCTGCGTGCCGCGGGTTGCTTCCTGCACTGTTTGGCACCATGGAGCAGCTCCCGAGATGCGATGAGGAGGGGAATCAGCAGCAGGTAGATGCTGCTGCTCATGTACATGCAGTAACAGCAGCAGCAGCATCAAATGCCCAAGCGCCGGCAGAAGAAGCTGCTGGAACGGTGGAAACCCTTGCTGCAACGGGGGGCTCACTGACGGCGCAGCTGCAGCAGCTGCAGCAGCGATTGTCTGCTATGCGTTGGGGCTCAGCAGCGCATCCCAAGCACCCCCAGCAGCAGCAGCAGCAGCAACAGCAGCAGCAACAGCAAGAACAGATCCAGCAGCAGGAGAATGGGGAATTTATGAGTTGCTGGGCCAGCAGCAGCAGCGGCGATTCTGACGAGGCGAGCGATGGCGAGGCGGAGGAGAAGACCATCATAGAGAAACATGGGAAGGGCGAATGCTGTGTTGCTGCTCCTCCTGTTGCTGCTGCTGCTGCTGCTGCTCCTGTTTCTTCGCTTGGCAGTTTACTTTTCTCTTTCGCCGCCTCCGCAGCAAATTCGGTTGCGGAGAAAATTGGGCAATCGGCGCAGCAACTTTTCAGACCCCCGGGTTAGACGGAAAGGCTCCATCTTGGAATTAAGGTTGCGTATAAGGGGCTTAGGGTTTAGGGTTCAGAAAAACGCTTGTCGGATGGGGCCTGAGTGGTATAGAATGTGGGTTCAGGAATGGGGTTTAGCTGTAGGGGTTTAGAGAGGGTTTACGGTGGAGATTTACGGAGGGGGTTCAGATTTTGAATGGGGGTATATGGGGAGATGCAGGAAACGGGTGTAGGGTTTAGGGTTTAGGGCTTGCGTTGTGTGTGGGCTTAGGATTGTTTGAGGTGACACCACGGGTGTATCTGTGTGAGGGAGGAGACTACGAATGCGCCTCCTTTTCTGGCGCGTCTTCTTACATGGACATTGTACATCCTTTTAAATATCTGCTTGTTAACATGACAGACATTAAATACGCTGCCTGCACACGTCAGCAGCACGGCGTTGCTGCTTCTGCTGCTGCTGCATCTGCTGCTGCTGCACCTGCTGGTGCACCTGCCGCTGCTGCTGCGGAGGACGCGGGGGCGCCCCGCAGCCCTTCCACAGCGAGCAGCAGCGACCGCGGAACTCCCCGGCAGCAGCAGCAGCAGCAGCAGCGGGAAGCAGCAGCTGCATCTGCCGTCGCTGCAGGATTCTTGTTAGAGCCAGCGCCAACGGCAGCTGCTGCTGCAGCAGCCACCGCCGCCGCAGCGTTGGCAGCAGCAGCAGCAGCAGGAGAGTTCCGCACGGGGGCAGTGATCGACGCGGGTTTTAGGGGGCTTCCCTATCCGCCTTTGCGTCTTTGTTTGTCTCTCTGCATCAGCGCTGGCTGCTGGCTACGAGGAGACAAGCAGCATGTGCTGCTACTGCAGTGTTTCAGGGGCATGGGGCGCTCTGTCTGCGTAGCAGCGGCTTTTCTGTCTTGGTGTGGGGTCTGTTCGGATGTTGCTGCAGCAACAGCACAAATAGAAAATGCCTTGGGCATACCGTCGGGTGCGCTGCCCCTGTTGCCCAGTCAGAAGCGTTTTCTAGCCTTCTTTGAAACCCTTATGGGGCTTCCATCCCCCACCTCCTCCTTCCTGCAGCAGCCGGAGCAGCAGCAGCAGGAGCAGGGACAGCTGCTGCAGCGGCTGGAGCAGCATTTTGTGCCCAGGAGACTAAGGAGAGTTATTTTCTGCGGGCTGCCGGCCATAGAGGAAACGCCGTACGCATTCGCCGACGTCATAAAAGAGGAACCTGCTCCTGTTGAAGCGGAGGAGGGCCAGCAGCAGGAGCAGCAGCAGCAGGAGCAGCAGCAGCACGTATTCGTGTTCCGCCCTGTGCTGGAGGTCTGGTTAGAGGGGTCTTTAGTTTACTCTTCGCTGCAGCAGTACTGCCCCGTTGCTGCTGTCGATTCTGCAGGAGCTTCGGTGAAGCTGCAGCACCAGCAGAAGCTTGAGGCGCAGAGCATCTGCGGCTGCCTGGCGCGTCAGCTTCCTGCATACAGTCCGGAAGAGGGAAGCCTTAAGTTTGAAATAGAGGGAGTGGAGGCATGCGGCGATCTGTTGCTGCGTCTACTACATGTGACACAGCAGGAGGCGCAACAGGAGGCGCAACAGGAGGCTCAGCAGGAGGCGCAGAAGGAGCACTGGTGCTGCAGCTGTAGCAGCAGCAGCAGCAGCTGCCGCCGAAGTCGCGTGTGGGCACGAAAGGTGCCCATGGCTCGCGCTGCGTTTCACACAGCAACTGTCAGTAGCCCCGGATGCATTTCCTTCGCCAAAGAAGATCTCGACGGCGGCCCGATGCTGGCAGCAGCTTTCCCTGATGACTGCTTTTTTGCTGTTTTTTTTGACCCTCTAGAAAGCACCGACAAGGCAGTGCAGGTAGCATCCGCAGTTGCTGCTGAAGCGAAAGACAAATTTGCAGCAGCAACAGCAACTGAAGCAGCTGCTGCTGGAGAGATGCAGCAGCTCGTCCAGAGAGTCAGGCAAGAAGGGATTTACTATCGCAGGCAGCAGCAGGAAGAACAGCAGCAACTGCTGCAGGTGGAGCAGCAGCAGCATCAGGAACGGCAACAGCAAGCGAACCCAAAACAGCGGCAGCATGACCAGGGCGTTCCTCGATCAGGGGCGAAAAAGGAATTATGGCAGCAGCAGCAGCAGCAGCAGCAGAGGCTCGGCAGTGGAGTCTCTCCGCAGACCCAGCAGCAGCAGCAGCAGCAGCAACAGCAGCAACGGCAGCAACCGCAGCTGAGCGTCAACCAGCTGCCAGGTGGCGAGCCTGTGGAATTTCTTGAAGTCGAGGACTGGGACTCCGGGGAGGCGCTTTCAGAAGGAGCAGCAGCAGCGGCACCGGGAGCAGCGGCTTCTTCTGCAGAGCGTGCCGCTGCGATTGCTGTCGCAGGTGCAGCATCGGGCGTCGCAGGTGCGGCTTTGCTTCTGCGCCCTTCGAAGCAGCAACAGAAACGACAACAGCAACACGAGGCGCAGCAAGACAGCGAGAGCGACATAAGTTGGGGCCACAGCGAAGAGGAGGATGGGGAGGCTACGGACACTCACCACGTCCCATCTGCAGTAAGTGGCTGTTCTTCAGGACAGGATGTCCGCTGTCCGTCTTTCTACGTCCTCCCTGCTGCCGAAACCACGCTCCTGAGTCCCCCGAGCGTCAGCTGCAACCGCACATGCAGCAGCAGCATCGCTGAGTCGGGTTCTCATGGCCTGGAAAGTGAAGCAGCTTCATCAGAGCAACCACCAGCGGCGGCATTAGCAACATCGGTAGCAGCAGCAGCTGCATCAGAAGCAACAGAACTGCTGTCTGATGCTTCGAGCAACAGCGACGGAGAGCAGCAGGGCCTTCCCGTTCTTGGCCTCCGTACCCGCAGCAGCAACAACAGCAACAACAAACGCGGCCTTTGCGAGGCTTGCCTGGATTTCGTCCCTCCCGTTGCTTCGTCGACTGGCGCAAGAGCAGCCCCAGCCAGAGTAATCGCTGCTGCTGCTGCATCCGTGACAGCAACAGCAGGTACTGCAGCAAACGCTGCAGCAAATGGTGCAGCAAACTCATCACGCTCAGAGAAAAGCCTCTCGCGCGAAAGTAGCACCGGCGACTGGGTCGCTGTTGCTTCACGGGGGTCTTCTCCCGTGCTGCTCGCTTCGCCTCGCCAAACGTCGCTTGAAGCGGGCAGCAGCAACTACAGCAGCAACTGCAGCGGCAGCCGCAGCGGCAAGAGCAGCCGAAGCACCTCCCCAAGAACTATTGCCAATCACCGCTTGTTCGTGGTCCTTAACCAGCCCCAGCACACGCACCAGCAGCAGCAGGAGCAACAGAGGAGCGTCCCACAGTTGCAGCAGCTCCCTCTGCAACAACTAAAGCAGCAGCAGTAAAATGGGATCTCGGATCAGGATCCACCGCAGTTAGGGCCCTGGTCGCCCAAACACGCAGTGCTGCACCAAACCGCGGCGTAGTTTGTTGGGTGTACACTGCACTGCATTCACCAGCGTCTCTATTTCTCTGATTTTTTTCTGTCGTTTTTGTTCTTCCCCTCAGCATCGTTGCGTTTTTCTTCTCGTGTGTGGTTGACTAATTACACGAACAGGTGTTTGGGGTTTTAGCTCCCTTCAGTCATCACCACTTGGCTTCCGGATTCTCCCCTTATTTGTTCAGCCTGTGTGGTAGCGCTGGGCCTAGGCAGCAGCAGCTGCAGCAGCACCTGCAGCAGCTGCAGCAGGCATTCGACTCTTCTGGGGTTTTTGCGTCATTTGTTTGTTGCTGCGCTGCCACTGTTGAATAAGCAGGTCTTGAGGTTGCGTTGGATTTGGGCGCGTCGGTAGCTGCTTAGGGGTTGCATTTATTGCCATTCCTTTTGTATAGACCCTATGCCCGAAAATCCGGGTAAAAGGGGTTTAGCATCGCGCTCTCCCGTGTTCTTTGGAAATGGGGGATCGTAACAGCAGCCGAACCCCTGCCCCTCTCCTCGCTGGACTGCTGAGGTGTCTGCTGCTTCGGCTATGGGGCCCCAGCGATCCCAAGGGGCCCCGATAAAACTGCCGACGGATCGCCCACACGGGCACTAGAAAACTGCAAACTGTGCCATTGGCGCTAAGCGTATCAACTAGAGCACTATAGCCATGGGTAGCTAGCTAGCTGAAGACTCGCTATTCTGTTGTCTAGCGAGTCTTCATCACCTCGTTCGTAGTTGTTCGAGTGCCCGCTTCTTCATTCTGTTGTCTAGCGAGTCTCCATCGTCCCTGTCTCCATCACGTTGTCCCTGCTGTGCCTTGTTCACTTGGCTGAGTGTAAGCAATGCATTCTTCACGTTGTCTTGCTCCTGAGCCAGTCATGGGGAGGCGGGCGCCTGTCGGTTTTCTTGGTGTTTGTTTGCTGTTCGATGATGTTTTCTTCTTTGGCCCTCATTGGATTGCTTCAGTTGGTGTCTTATCGGCAAACCAGGTAGCATCATATATGCGCTGTGAAGCTGTCTATCGTGGCCTCCGCTTCCTACCACGTGCCTTTTTCGACACTTTTGCCGTTGTCTCTGTTGCAGGCGCTTTGAGTTTAATCTGAGTTCTCCCATTAGCATTTGCTGTAAACCGAGCAACGCGGATTGTTTTGGAGCGTGTTATAGGTTCAATCCGTTGATATCGAGCTGTTGTCGGCTGCCTGTTTGTCTGCAATGCTTCTCTGATGAGTGCTGCTGTCATTTACTGTTGCTGCTAAGCCGCCGATGATCTCTGGTTGCTGTCCAGTGTTGGAGTACCTGCTCCTGGGTGCGTTTCTGCCCATGGAGAACAGTCAAAGGGTGTGTACAGCAGTCGCGTGAGTTGCTTCTTTCGCGTCATCAACGTCCCCTGCACCCCTGCACTCCACTGCACCCTCCATCAATGGTCTTCGATGTGCCCTTTCTTGCTGGTGTTGGATGTAGAGGAGGTTGGCGAATTCTGCTGCTCATTGATAGTCTGGGTGGCTCTACTCGAAATGGGTTCATGGAACAAGTCGGTTGTTATGTCCTTCCCTGAACGGCACGTAGATGACCACCAAACACGACCAATTTTTTTAAGGGTAGCAATGCCTCAGGTGATAGTCCAGCCGCGACATCACAAAAGTGCGCATCGTATCCAACTTCTCACAGGGAAAGAGCTCTGGCCTGAGGCGCTTAATGATACCC